GTGTGTGTGTGTGTTATTGTGTGTGTGTCTGTTAGTGAGTGTGTCTGTTAGTGAGTGTGTGCGTGCATGTGTGTGTGTGTGTGTGTGTCTGTTAGTGTGTGTGTGTGTCTGTTAGTGTGTGTGTCTGTTACGTGTGTGTGTGTGTCTGTTAGAGTGTGTGTGTGTGTCTGTTAGAGTGTGTATGTGTCTGTTAGTGAGTGTGTGTATGTGTGTCAGTGAGTGACTGTGTGTGTCTGTTAGTAAATGAGTGTGTGTGTCTGTTAGTGAGTGTGTGTCTGTTAGTGAGTGTGTGTCTTTTAGTGTGTGTGAATGTCTGTTAGTGTGTGTGTCTGTTAGTGTGTGTCTGTTGAGTGTGTGTGTGTGTCTGTTGTTGTGTGTGTGTCTGTTAGAGTGTGTGTGTCTGTTAGTTAGCGGTCTGTTAGTAGTGTGGTGTGTGTGTTGTGAGGGGGGGGGGGAGGCTGGGGGCATCTGAGTTTTGTCATGCCTAGGGCAGCACAAAACCAGGCTACACCACTGCTACACACAATACTGATCTTATCATACCCACACACTACTGCCCATATACCGTTACGTATAAACTACAGGTCCTAAATCCCCTACACATACACTACAGCTTCTATCCCCGCCACACACACATCAACCCCTATCCCTTCCACACAGACGACAGTCCCCATCCTGCACAAATTGATGTACCAATTACACCCACATACCCTAAACCCCACTTCTCACGCAAAGTCACACCACACCATCAACCCTCTCCAAACATACTGCACTGCAAAAAACCCTAGTTACAGACATTCAAGAAGCCTACCCTCTAATACAACCTTTGAACAATCAATCCTACACACCTGCCTCCTACACACACAATATAACAGGTAGTCTACCTCACACACTGTTTCCACTGCCCTAACTAAAAACATGGTATTTTCCCTGTGATAGCTGTACAGCAGGGCTCTGCATGTGATGGTACCAACTGGGTTAACTACAGCTTAGCACCGCTGTAGCTGTAGTTAAAAAGTAAAAAGATAAAGTAAAAAGTATTAAATATGCCATTCCAAGCAGGGATGCTTGCACTATTATCACTAAAATACATAGTAGTAGTTATGGTGCTTGGAATGTCTTTTATACATATAAATCAAAGGTTAATTAAGAAAGGCATATTGTGTTAAAACTATTTCATGGGAAAGTGTCTGAAGCATAGCTCAGATAAAATGTCTGTGTCACTGTTTCTCCAAGAATGTCTGCAGAACAAAACAATTGCTTTTGAAGTTTGATGCAAAACTAAAGATGATTAAACGTTATTCCAAGTATCATAACCATTATAGCCCATTGTGATGATGTGAAAAATACCCGGGCCCTGTTTCTTAGTAATGGAACAAATGTTTCAGCAATGATTTGCCCTCTTACCTGGGTACCCTCCAGGCAGCGACGTATCTTACACGAGGCAAACAAGGCATTTGCCTTGGGCGGCACTTTGCAGGGGGCGACAAAAAAAGCCCAGATGCATAAATTGTTTGCCCCCTGTCTTGGGGGGCTCAAGAGCTGGCTGGCTGACCACTTTTGAGCCCACCAGCGCTGGCAGCTTCTATTGCAGTCGGGCAGCGAGGGAGCATGCTCACCTGAGCTCTTCCTGCTCAGCTCCCTCGTGCGCTGTTTAATGAAGCCGGGAGCCGGAATATGACGTCACTCCGGCTCCCGGCATCACTAAGCAGCGCGCGAGAGAGCTGAGCAGGAAGATTAAAGCTCCATTGCCGCCTACTCAGCCTGTCCCCCCCGCCTGCCCACACAGCAGCACCACTGAACCACAGGTAAGTAATCCACTCCAGCTCTCCCAGGGAGGCTGGGTGGATTTAAAGTAAAATTAAAAAAATAATAATAATGTGTGAGTGTTAGGGAAAATCTGTGTCTGTGAGTCAATGTGTGTGTGTCTGTGAGTGTGTGTGTCTCTCAGTGAGTGTGTGTGTCTCTCAGTGAGTGTGTGTGTCTGCGTCTGTTAGTGTGTGCGCATCTGTCAGTGAGTGTGAGTCTGTCAGTGTGTATCTAAGTAATAGTGTGTGTCAAATCAGTGAGTGTTTGTGTATGTCATTGTTTGTCAGTGTATATGAGAGTGTGTGTCTGTCAATGAGTGTATGCATTTGTCAGTGAGTGTGTGCGTCTGTCAGTGAGTGTGAGTCTATCAGTGTGTGTCTGAGTAATAGTGTGTGTCTGTCAGAGTGTGTCAAATCAGTGAGTATGTATGTAATTGTTTGTCAGTGTATATGAGAGTGTGTGTCTGTCAGTAAGTGTGTGTGTGTCTGTCTGTCAGTGAAAGTGTGTGTTGGTTAAACAGTATGTGTGCCAATGACTATCTTTTAGTTAGTGTATGTCAGTGAATGCATTAGTAAGAAAGTGTCTGTCAGTCAAAGTGCGGCCTTGACAGAAGGGGTGGAGGGGGACGAGCACCGTCTGGCCTAGGGCAGCACAAATCCAAAATACACCACTGCCTCCAGGAGCAGAGGAATCTCTATGCCTGGTGATGTGCATCTGACTTCTGTAAAACTGCAGAAGCAATATGCCAATCCAGCTGTTTTTTTCATTGGTTGAGGGCATCTGCTGACCGCTCGCAGCCAATGAATGACATTCTTTGCATACAAAAACATATAGAATTGGCATTAGCCGACCCAGAACTCTTGTTTCTGGCCTCCGTAGTGAAACGCTGCACCTACAGATTCCAGGCACCATGTCAACTTCAAAATCCCTGAAGGGTCCATAGTGCTTGGAGTACCCGTTAAGCAAGTTTTACAGTTATTTATTTTTCCATGACTGAGTCCTCTAGCTATGTAAATGCAGCATACACCTGAAGAATAGGGGTCAGTAAACTGTATTTTCCCTAATTTTACTTTCTACAACATAGCACCTCATCACTACTTGTAAAAGTACATGTGGACATTTTGTGTTCAGTAAGATGTTGTGGAAAACCTTCTGGAATCATTTATATGGTTTTCCAGTTTTCAATCACCACCTGTATGTTTTCAGATAGGACGATATTTCCTGCTATCATGTGATAATTTGTTGCCTTCATACAGGATAAAAATATCAGTATTTGAAAAACAATGAATGCTAGGAGTCATCGTATACTTTGTATTTGACTTTTTTTTATCGGAGCAAAAAACCTATGCAACTACTCAAAAACTAAACCAGCCTCAATGTATCTGATTGGATTTTAAATGTAAAACAGAGCTGAGAAGGCTTGGTGCATGACTATGTTAAATAGTTTTATTGCATAGTGATGGTATGTATGTTTAACTTGGGTTGTCATAACAGCTCATGAGCCAGATGCAGCCGTTTTCAGCTGATATTTCTCTTAGTGCATCAGTGCTTAACAATGGACACATTAGAAATTGTGGACTACATATTCTGTAATGCTCAGTTAATCTTAAACCAAGAGAATGTAAAAGCTTTATATGAGATATGGTCCACAACAGACTGATTGCCATCAAGTTATAGCAAAATGAAACATTAATAAATTGTATCTCACAATAACTATATACACAAAATATACAAAGTGTATCTCACAGCAATGACTAAATAAACCAAATATACAGTAATTGTTCAAATGCTATCAGAGCAACATAAACTAAACAGCATTTGTATTGGTTACTTGAAAGTTTTCTTAAATATTATAGCAACATGAAGGGGCTTGAGGATCTAGATCAGGGATAGGCAACCTTCGGCACTACAGATGCTTTGGACTACATCTCCCATAATGCTCTTAGACCCATAATGCTGGCTAAGCATCATGGGGGGTGTAGTCAAAAACATCTGAAGTGCCAAAGGTTGCCTATGCCTGATCTAGATTTTATCCAGGAAAAGACAATTGCAAATTAGGAGAGGAAACAACAAAATTCAGGTCTATTTACTAAAGGGAGAATTATCAGGAATTCAAAGTGAATGTAAAATTTAAGTCCAAAGTAGCGTAAATGGAAGCATAGCTAAATTAAAGAATTCTTTCAGTGTTTGACCTTAAAGGGACACTATTAGAGCAACATGAAGGGGTTTGAGGATCTAGATTTTATCCAGGAAAAGCCAATTGCAAATTAGGAGAGGAAACAACGACATTCAGGTCTATTTACTAAAGGGAGAATTATCAGGAATTCAAAGTAAATGTAAAATTTAAGTCCAAAGTAGCATAAATGGAAGCATAGCTAAATTAAAGAATTCTTTCAGTGTTTGGCCTTAACCCCTTAAGGACCAAACTTCTGGAATAAAAGGGAATCATAACATGTCACACATGTCATGTGTCCTTAAGGGGTTAAAGGGACATCGTAGTCACCTAAGCAACTTTAGCTTAATGAAGCAGTTTTGGTGTATAAATCATGCCCCTACAGTCTTACTGATCAATCCTCTGTCATTTAGAAGTTAAATCATGCTGTTTATACAGCACTAAACACACCTCCCTGCATGAGTCTTGCACTTTGTATTTTCAAGAATTATCACTTTAGTGATTAACCTTGATTGTTTAATTTCTCCTCTTCTCTGTATGCTTTCTCTATGCTGACTGCCAGGTGCATGACAGAGCTTATAACTACTTCACAGGGAGCTAAGATGAAGGGTGTCCATTTCTACATTTAATTTTATTTTTTCACATATCACAAATACATTTCATTAAATGGACACTATGTGTTAGGAATACAAATCTCATCTCACAGTGTCAATCTCCACTGTTAGTTTTTGTACCTAGTTTGTTTTGTTCCTGCCCCTGTCTGCACTGTAAAAAATAAAATTAACTTTGTCTCACTCCTCCTCATGTGCCCCTCATAGAGGAGCATTGGGGCCGCATTCCCCCATTGATTCTCTTGTTATAGAGAATCATTGCATGCAGTGATTCTCTGTGACAAGCTGTGACAGCACGGCGCATGTTTGTGTATATTGGTACATTTATTAAAAACATTAAACAGCCTCCCCTCAAGGGGAGAAGCTATCTACACACACATAACATAAAGGAAAATAAGTAACGGGAGCCAGGGCCGTCTTTAATAACGAATGGACCCTGGGCAAGTGTTTGCTTGGGCCCCCTGTGCCCTGCCGCTCTCACCCCTCACTCCCTGGTATGCAATCACGGCATCCATCCCAACGCAGTGGCGGTACTAAAGTAGAATGAATTTTATTGGGACCCCCAATTGCAAGGTTGGACTACAGGTAGAACCCCATCTGTCGTGCAACTCCAACAATGCTTTGACAGCTGGGACTCTACCAATTTCCCATGCTTGCAGGGTTGTATTTAGCACTGAGCCATGTTAGTATGTTTGAATGTAAGCATGTGTTTGTATGGAGTATGTTTGTGTGAATGTATTTGTATGTGGTACTGGAGTTTGAATGCAAGTGTGCATTTATGTGTAGTGTTTGTTTTTGAATGTAGGAGTGTGCTTGTATGTAGTGTTGACGTTTCAATGCAGGAGTGTGTTTTATATATAGTGTTGAAGTTTGAATGGAGGGGTGTATTTGTATTTAAAGTTGCGGCTCAGATGCACAGGTACACACTCTGACGCACAAGCAGATACACAGATACATACACTGACTACATACAGATAAACAGGCACATACACTGACAGACACACTGACACAGGTGCATATATTGACACACACACAGACACATACACTGGTAGACATACTGACAGACATACTGACACAGGCACATATACAGACATACTGACACACAGACACATATACCGACATACTGACACACACACACAGACACATACACTGATCAACATACTGACACACATACACTGACAGAAATACTGACACCCACACACTGGCAGATATACTGACACCCACATACACTGAGAAATACTGACACACACACACAGGCACATACACTGGCACACACAGACTGATATACTGACACACACACACACAGACATACTGGCACACAGACAGATATACTGACACATGCATACACATGCACTAACAGACATACTGACGCACTGACAGACATACTGGCACATACACATACCCCAGCACACACACACGGATATACACGCACATATATACTGACGCAGACGGACGAGACATGCTGACACACACCCCAGACGTACTGACACACACGCACATACACTAACACGCATACACTAACACACATACACACACACACTACTTACACACACTAACATACACATACACTAACACACACACACACTAACACACATGCACATACACTAACACACAAACACACACACACACACACACACACACACACACACACACACACACACACACACACACACACACACACACACACACACACACTAACACACACACACTAACACACACACACAAACACATACACTAACACACACATACACACAAACACACATTTTTTTAAAAATGTAATCCCCCCAGCCTCCTTACCTTTTGGAGTGCTGGGGGGATTCCCTGGGGTCCAGTGGTGCTGCTGGGCTCCTGGGCGGGTGGCCGGTCGGGCAGGAAGGCGGACGCGCGAGGGAGCACTCAGTGATGACGTCATCTTCCGGCTCCGGCATCAGTGCGGTGCGCGAGGGAGCTGAAGAGGAAGCACTGAGTGCTCCCTCGCGCGCCCGCCTTCCTGCCCGACCGGCCACCCGCCCGCGTCAGCGGGGCCCACGGGGCAGGTGCCTCGGGCCCCCCAAGAGAAACTGGGCCCGGGGCAGCTGCCCCGTTTGCCCCACGTTAAAGACGGCCCTGATTATGATAGCAATATAGCTAGATGTCCACAGGGGCGTGGGGGTTGGAGCAGCTTTGTGGTCCACAGCTATTTCATAGTCACTAGTTTTAACACTGCTGCATAGTTTTTAACACCTTCATTATAGTAATATGGGGATATTATTGACACCCATAGGCTTTTTAGATAGATAGATAGATAGATAGATACGAATTTGAAACATATTTAAAGCATTTGGTCTGGAATTCAGTCATTCAGCAGCATTCAGTCTGGCTGAAATCTGAACCAAATTTAGGCCTATTCAGGCCCAG